ATTCTTTAGGTCATAAGGATTCGATTACTCGTTAAAGCCAACTTTAAAGAGCTGAAAGTTATTTAGTCAAAACAATTGATCACTAGGGAAGTTTTAATTTGACAGTTAAGTCACACCTTCTTACTGGATACACTAATCTTGATTCATGTACCTAGAATTTAAATGCTGTACTAGAATTTAAATGCTGTACTAGAATTTAAATGCTGTACTAGAATTTAAATGCTGAAAAACTTCGCAAGAGAAATTGAATATTTCGCATAGCATTTTAAGAAAATGGACTCGACACAAAAGTGGACAGAAATATGCTTGCAATTGACATTTAATGCATGAATTAAGGGCTGAATAGGCAAAACAATTTTTAATATTTGTTTTAAAATTGTGACAACTTGATGGTTTTGAACTTTTATGATTTGAATAACCAAGTTATGCGAATATTCAGAATCAAAAACATTAGAATTATTCATTTGTTTCAGATTCTGATGAAAGAGAGATGAATAAAAACCATCGAGCATTCCAAAAATTTAGATAATGAATGCAAAAATAAATTCATTTTCTACTCTAACAGTTGATTCTACAACTAGAAATATCTTTCTCCACAGAGAATAAATACGACTTCATTGAGAATTATTCAGAATGAACACATCTAGGCAATTCTACATTAACTGAAGAAAATGCAATACCTAAACTATATATATAATTTTGAGTTTTTCTTAACAAAAATTAAATTGGTCAGATCAAATTTTTCAGATCAGAATACAGTTTAACAAGATTTGACATTAGTAATGAATTGCAAAAGCTTTTTCTCTCACCAATGAAGTTATTTTAATAAAACTCAAAATTTAAAGAGTTTTGATTTATATTCACTCAGAAGTAATTTATGAGAGATGTTTGTCAATAGATATAGATGATTAACCTCCATCTACATATCCCACGATTTAAGAGAGTTGGAAGTTTGTCTTGGCTTGAACTGTAACATGCTGTTATAGAGCTCCAAATAAAGAATCGTTGAATTTATTACAAAAATGTTTACACCTGTTCTAAGGCATTGCAACTAAATAATAATGGTAATAAAATATTAACATTGGGGGGGGGGGGGTTCTGCTAATATTTTTAAGATTTTTACAATACCAGGGATATGCATTTATAATACAAATGCTTAGCTGGATGGTATGCTGCAAGAGAGGTTACAAATAGCTAGCCTTAGGAAACAAATATCATACTAAATGCATTAATTTTAAAGTCACTTTAATATGTAATTAAAAATATAATAATTTGATATAAGTTAACAATTTAATGTAATAATTTTAAATTTACTTAAACAAAACAGCAAATGAT